CATGGCTCCTCCTCGGCTCTGTTGGAGTTGGCTCCCCAAACTGGCAAGTTCTCTTGCACCTCTGTGCCCCAAAAAGTTTGCTGCCAACCTAGGGCGCCCAACACTGCCTTGTTCTGCCTCCCTTTTGCCCCTTGGATATGGCTAACAGCTTCCCCACCACCCCTGTGTTTTGCCATCAGGGCCCAGGCCCCGCCCTGGGTGTGGATTCATTCTAGTGTCAAACCCCAGCCCCTGTGGATGGCCCAACTCCAGAGGGACTACAGAGTCCCCAGCCTCCATTGCCCCAACACCTTGGCATTACACAATTCCTTCCATTGTTTTTTCTTTTAGAATATTCTTAATAGCCTTTGGGATATGTCCCCCTTCTTGTCAGAGCCAGAAACCTCCTGCTTGTGCTTCCGCAGGAAAGGAGCTAAAGGAGAGGCTGGGGTGCAGAGTGCTTGCCTAGAGTGCATGAAGAGGGCCTTGGATTTTATCCCAGACACTACCAAAAAATGCAGGGCCTACAAAGTGAACGGCACCCATCTGGACTCTTGACTCCACACCCCAAAAGATAGCAAGCAACCTTGAGAAGCATTGTGAAATCATGGAGGGACCTGAGGAGGTAGTAACAACATGCCAGCCAGCAATAAGGAAAATGGTGTCCAGTACTTGGAGGTGTTGTCCAGAAGGTGGTAAGGGAAGGTGATAATATTTAGGGTAGGAAACTGCCATTCAAAGAAGGGGAAAGGGTTCTGGACACGGGTAAGCGTCTTAGAAAAGGTACCAGGTGGAGTGAACTGGGCATATCTGGGAACTTGGGGTGTGTCACTGCACTGAGTGAGCGGAAGTCAGTGTCTGCCCTAGACCCCGCCATAGACTATTCATACAGAGAAATGCATCTCACTGGACCTAGGTAGAGCAGGGATTTAGAGAGGCAGTGTCCCTGTGACTCACAGTCTCGTGAAGGATGGTCAAGCATCCCAGCCTGAATCCTCCATGGCCTAGCTCCAGCTGACCAGCACTCATCTGGACTCCTGATTCCACAGCCCAAGGCTATCTGTATGCGAGGGAGCACGGTAAAGAAACTGCCAACATGATGCTCCACTAGTAGGGGGAAGGTTTTTCTTATAAATAAGAGAGAATATCCAGAGGCATCTGGAAGAGTCCAGGGCAGAGAAAAAGCGAAGCTGACTGGACATGGGCAGGGCTGGGGAAACAGTGGAGACGGCCAGTGATAGCAAGAGATGCGGGGCAGGTGGGCAGGGGGATAAAGCTTGTTGTTACAAAGACAACAATGGTTATCTGGGAGGAGAGAAGGACCAGGACGCTAGCATGGGGACTTTGAAATGTAGAACAAGTACTTGTGAGTAGGGACTGAGGCAGCCTGGATGCAGGCATGGGCTCCATCCATATGTAGTTAACTATATAGGCATATATCAATGTAAAACCACGTCCTTTTGGTCAGAGACAAGGAAATGACTCCTTTTAGGGATGAAACCCCATTTCCTATTTCCTGAGGAACGCAGGCTTTCATCTAACCACCAGAAATCCTTCTATAGTCCAGTCTGAGCTCATTCCTAGACACGTGGACTACCCGAGACCTAACAATGTAAATCAAACTTGAGAAAACCATCGCCAACCTTAGGGGAACTCAAAGAGACCACACGACAGACAGTGAGTGAACAGGAAATAAAAAGGGAAGGGAAGGCCATGACTGCTCCTAGGTATGGTGGAGGAGAAAGTTTCTTGTAGATAAAAGGAAGAGCGCAGGTAGAAGCAGGGACATCCTGGAGAGTCCAGAGTGGACATGATCAGACTGAACTGGACCATGTGGGGGAGGTGGGAGGAGAAGGGAGAGGGAGAGAGGGAACCAGGAGCAGCAGCCAGGAGGCTAAAGGTACAAAAACCATGGGGTAACCAAAATGTCCAGATTATGTAGGGAAGAGCCTCTGGGGGAAGGGCAGCCCAGCCCTAGGCTGGAGACTTCAAGATAGGGGTCAAGGTAACCCTAGGAACTGAGGGATGCTTTGACAGTAGAGACAATAGGCAGGAGAGGTCCTGGGTCACCTCTGCTCTTCCCCAGAATCTACCTCTCAACTTTGGGTCATTTCTGTGTTACCCCACTCATCCTCCTCTTCCTCACTGACTGCACCGGTGGCTTACACCCCCAAAGGTCAGCAAATAATCAGCACACCTGTGGGGAACCCCCTAGGGAGGAGCAGCTCAGGTCCTCCTACTCCTGACCCATTTCAAAGATGAGGCCAGGCCCTGCCTTTGCAAAGATGATCAAGAGAACTCTCTCTTGATTCAGGTGCCAAGCATATCCCTTTCCTCCACTCTGTGCTTCAGAGGCTGAGGAGGGGCAGGTGGGCTCATGGAAAAGGTATCAGACGTCGTCCTCTGAAAGCTCACTTTCCTGTAGGGTCTCCAGAGGCACCTTACCCCCAAGACCCTTCTCCATCCCCTCTGCTGGCAATGAAATGGGTGAGAGCGGCCGGCCGGCCGGGGGATCTCCCTGTTCTGACCAGAATCATGGGACTCTGACTCACAGCCGCCCAGGCCACCTGACCACAGCAAGCAGAGAGGGCCCTGCCAGGGGGTTCCCCAGCCACCGCCTTGTTTACCTCCCTAAGCTGGCCTGGAAACTGGGGAAAGGGCCTGAACTGCTGTAGGCAGCAGGGCATACTGGCCTGGCCTGAAACCCAGAGGCAAGAGTCTCTATGTCAACTTCCCCAGGGCCCCATTTCCTGACAGTTCTTTCTCCCAGTGATGATAAAGCAAAGGAGTTCCTGGTTGTTCCCTATTGGCTCAGATGTCCGGTAGGAAGCTTGGCCTGCTCGAAGCTCTCAGGCCACTAGGTTGCTGAGTCATGCTGGACCAGCACCTGCCTCTGCCCAGCTCCAGGGTCCTGGTACCCCAGGATTTACCTGCACTAACAGAGGGTCCTGTAGGTTAAGGATGTTTTCCTGAGCTAACAGCTTGATGGAGGGGAACCTTAGACATTTTTCCTTCAGGAAGGGGGCATAACTGTGAACCTCCTAGTCCCAGGGAAAAATCAGTCACACCTGTGTGATATCCCTCCCTTGCTTCTGAGTCTTCCCAGCCTTTGAAGTTTTTCTGCTCCCACAAACCCAGCTCCTAGAGAGGCCCAGGGAGAAGATGGGAATCAGAACATGAGTTCTAGGAAGCTGGTCCAGAGAGCCTGCCTCTGGACTCCAGTCTGTCCAGCATGCCCCTCTACCATGAGTTTGACTCAGAAGGTCTGAGCCCTACTGACAGGGCCATGCCTGGAGGCCTTACAGTGTGACACTCCTCTGTAGCCTGCATCCTTCCCACAGTTGAGCTCCATAGCCTGTATCCTCCCTGCAGCTGGTTTCCTGCTAAGAGCTCATTTGATTTTTATTCTTTAGTTTGTTTTTTGAAAGTCCAAAGCTACAAAGAAACCCTGTCTCAAAAAAAAAAGCAAAAAAACAAAAAAAAAAAAAGGGGGGGGGCTGGAGAGATGGTTCAGTGGTTAAGAACATTGCCTGATCTTCCAAAGGTCCTGAGTTCAATTCCCGGCAACCACATGGTGGCTCACAACCATCTGTAATGAGGTGCCCTCTTCTGGCCTGCAGACATCCACACAGACAGAATATTGTATACATAATACATAAATAAATAAATAAATAAATATTTTTTAAAAAATAAGAAAAGAAAGTTGCTACACAAGCCTGGCCTAGCCTTGAATTAGAACCCCTCCTGACTCAGCTTCCCAGATGCTGGTTACAGATGTGTTGCATCATGCCCAGCTAACAGGTCACTTTTGCCCCACAAAGCAGCATTTCCTAGTTTGGCTTTTGTATCAAGGGTTGAATCTCAGATAAAACACATATTTGGTGCTTTGTCATTGAGCTGTATCACTATGCACCAAATTCCCCACCAAATTCCCCTGAGGTGTAATCCCCATTAAGATAAATTCCCATGAACTGTATCCCTACTAAACTCTATAGCCAACCTTTTATTTAATCTTTTATTTTATTTTTACTTTATTTATTTTTGAGAGCGGGCCTCATGTAGCCAAGGCTGGCTTTGAATTCCTGAACCCCTTGCCTCTAACTCCCAAATGTTAGGATCACTTTCTATTTTGAGACACTTTCACCAAGCTGCTCAGACAGACCTTCAGCTTGGTATCCTCCTGCCTCAGCACCTCAAACAGCTGGGATTACAAACCTGTGGCACAGGACTGGCTAAGGCTGGTATTTTGGTTCCTAGTTGGAAGGCAGGTAGGCTGTCGTCTTTGTCTATGAGGCCAATAAGCCCTGATATGCCCACCCCCACCCCAGGATTAGAGTCTCAATCAATCTCTCTCTCTCTCTGGGCTGTTTGGAATCTTTATGGTTTCAATGAACAGGTTGGGACTGACCATTGATGCTTCACAAGTCCTGGCCAGCCTCCTACAGGGTGGGATTGTGGGAAGTCGTCCCAGTGCTTGTCTAACACCTTCCAATTTGATCCTTGTTAAATTGGGTCAGGCCTAACGGGGTGATATGCCTTTATCCAGTTAGGGGCTGGCCAAGGAGGATGTAGGGGTGAGAAAGTGGGGGAGGGGTGCAGGGGGCGCTACCACCTGGGACACTGAGCTTGGGAAGGTCGGGACAGCATCCTGTGAACCAGCTTGTTTGGCCTCCTGACAGTAAGTACCTGTGTCCTCCTCCTTTCTGTGCTGGCCATCCCCCCTCAGCTTGGGGACTACACTGCTGAGTCATAGGCAGGCCCAAGCCTGGGACGCACCTAGGCTAGGACCCTTACCGGAATTTTCCCCAACAAGTGGAGGCTGAGGAGGGTCTTTTGGGGTGACCCTAGTCTTGGAAGGAAGAAAAAGGAGTTGGCAGCGAGAGCGCCCCTCCTATACCTGATAGGGACCCTGTCAAGGGGGCTCCCGAGCCGCAGTGCCACCAGCCAGAAGGGGCGGGGCGCAGAGAGTCCCCGCCCCATGTAAGGCGGGGCTCCCATTTTCTCCATAAAAGCTGGGCTAGGCGCAGCAGCAGCTGCTGCCCAGCTGTTTCATCCCTACCGAGTTTGCGATTATGGCGTCGCTTACCGTGAAAGCCTATCTTCTGGGCAAGGAGGAGGCGGCCCGCGAGATCCGCCGCTTCAGCTTCTGCGTTAGCCCGGAGCCCGAGGCGGAAGCCGAGGCCGCGGCGGGCCCAGGGCCGTGCGAGAGGCTGCTGAGCCGGGTGGCCACGCTGTTCCCCGCGCTGCGGCCTGGCGGCTTCCAGGCGCACTACCGCGGTGAGGGGCTAGGGCCGCCAGGGTGGGGAAGCCACCCTCGCTCGGCCACGGTGGGGCCGGTCTGGGCGAGGACGTGGCGGGGCGTACTCTGCCTCCCCGGGGACCGGGGGTGTCAGACGGCCATTGGGGTGACAGCTGACCTCCCGCCGACTGTGAGGCGGTAACGCAGGGTGGCGGTGGCTTCAGGTAAAGCCCCGGAAGAGCGGGAACCGGACGGACAGACAGACGTGGGGGTGGGGTGGAGAGGAGTGACGCGGGTAAACAAGCGGCGGGGGCGGGGAGGTCGGGGACCCGGGAACTAGCTCAGTCTCTTGCGTTGGAGTGGCTGGTGGCTGCGTGGGGTGGGGCTAGGAATTGTTGACAAGAGCAGCGGCCAAGGCCCTCCCTCTGGGAGGACTGTTCGACCGGCGGTCTTTTTTTTTTTTTTTTTTCTTGAGGTAAAGCCACGTAGCCTGATTGGCCTTGAACGCCCGAGTGGTTTAGGGTGGCCTCACTCGACTTCAATCCTCTTTGTCTGTTTCCCAGTGTAGGGGTCACAGGTGTTCATCACTACTCCTGGCCAGAAAATTTTCCGTGTAACTGAGTGATTGTGTAATTCACCCAGGAAAGGTGTATAAAGAGGCCAGGCACTGGTGGCGCACGCCTTTAATCCCAGCACTTGGAAGGCAGAGGAAGGGGGCGGTCAGAGTTCGAGGCCAGAGTGGACTACAGAGTGAGTTTCCGGACAACCAGGGCTACACAAAGAAACCCTGTCTTGGAAGAAAAAAAAAAGTGTATAAAGATTATTCTTTTGTATTAGCAGAGACAGGTCTCACTGTGTAGCCTGGCTGGCTCTTACCCCTAAATTGCCCTTCAGCGTCCTCTGCTTTGTATTTTGCTAGGGATCCAGGCCAGGGCCTCATGCCTGCCAGGCTTGAACTACCTAGCTGCCTCCAAGCTCCTTGCTTTTTTATTTTTTATTTTAATGAATTGTGTAACCGCTATCATGTTCAATTTAGAATCTCTTTATAAATCTTTGTCAATATTTATTTTGGTTTTCCAAGACAGGGTTTCTCTGTATAACCCTGACTGTCCTGGAACTCACAGAGATCCGCCTGCCTCTGAGTGCTGGGATTAAAGGCGTGTGCCACCACTGCCTAGTGTATAAATGGAGTCTTATGGTGTAGTTTTGTTCGTTCACTTATTAATATGTGGGAGGCCCATTTGTATTGTAGCTCTCACCAGTATTTTTCCCCCTCCTGTACTGGGGCGTGAACCCAGGGCTTTGCATATGCTAGGCAAGGACCTGAATGCTGCATCTCTGGGTGATACTTCATTTTGTGTGTGTGTGTGTGTAGAATAATCTGTTTGGATATGTCATGTTTAGTTGATCTGGTCTTTGGTTGGTAGGCACTGGGCTGTTGGTAGTGTTGCTGGCTGGTGTTGCCCACAGGCTTAGCCCAGTCTGCACATGTGTGGTTTGGCATTTATGAGGAGCTTGAAGAGTAATTGTACTAACATGTAAACATACACGCCTGCTTGCAATCCCAGTACCAGTGTGCTAACATAAAAACAAAGCCAGAGGGCTTTGAGAGATGGCTCGATAGTTAAAGCTGCTCTTCCAGAGAACCCAGCTTCTGTTCCTAGCACTCACACTAGACGGCTCACAACTACTTGTAATTACAACTCCTAGAGCTCGACACTGTTTTGGCGGGAGGCTGGGCCCACACTCACATGTGCGCTGCCTACTGTGCAGAACTGTAATCCAGGACCATCCAGTTTGTGTCAGAGTGAATGGCCATATCGCTGCTTGCCCCAGCATCCAGGCTGAGCCTAGAGCCTCTGCAGATGTCTGTTTAGCCTTGGGCTGTCTGTCCATTGCAGCAGTGGATATGCAGCTGGGTGCCTCTGCTGTCTATTTTCTGTCTAGTGCCTGCTAGGTCAGCATTTGGCCTGAGCCGTGTCCCTGACTCTGATGTATTGTCTCTTAAACCACATAGATGAGGACGGGGACTTGGTTGCCTTTTCCAGTGATGAGGAGCTGACAATGGCCATGTCCTATGTGAAAGATGACATCTTCCGCATCTACATTAAAGGTATGAAGGCTGGGCGGTGGTGGCGCACGCCTTTAATCCCAGCACTCGGGAGGCAGAGGCAGGCGGATCTCTGTGAGTTCGAGACCAGCCTGGTCTACAAGAGCTAGTTCCAGGACAGGCTCCAAAACCACAGAGAAACCCTGTCTCGAAAAACAAAAAAAACAAAAACAAAAACACACAAAAAAAAAATAAAGGTATGGGGCTGCCCTAGGACACTGCCTGAGTCCGAGTGATTCCTTTGGAGCTTCCCTCTCATAGAGAAAGGGTCAGGATGAGGATGAGCTCTAGGGGCTGGGAGCTGAGGGAGGTGCAGACGGGGCTCCTGCTGTTTAACAGTTGCAGGGCCTGGAACCTCTTGACCTCATATGAGGTTGTCCTAAGCAACTGAATTCTGGATGGACTCTGACCAGCAGGGCTGCAGTGACAAGGGAGAACTTCAGGGACTTGCTCTAATAGTTTTTAACTCTCCCTGCAGAGAAGAAGGAGTGCCGGCGGGACCATCGCCCACCATGTGCTCAGGAGGCATCCCGAAACATGGTGCACCCCAACGTGATTTGTGATGGCTGCAATGGGCCTGTGGTGGGAACTCGCTACAAGTGCAGCGTGTGCCCAGACTATGACCTGTGCAGCAGCTGCGAGGGGAAGGGCCTGCACAGGGAGCACAGCAAGCTCATTTTTCCCAACCCCTTTGGCCACCTCCCTGATGTGAGCTGGTTCTCTGCAGTTCTAGGGGGTACAGGGTGGTGGAACCTGGAAACCCTGACCACTCACTGCCCTGCCTTGTTTTTTCCTGCCCAGGGCTTCCACCATCATGGCCGCTGGCTTCGGAAGCTGAAACATGGACATTTTGGCTGGCCTGTCTGGGAGATGGGTCCACCAGGGAACTGGAGCCCACGGCCTCCTCGAGCAGGGGATGCTCGCCCTTGCCCTACAGCTGAGTCAGGTAAGGCTGGTATTTGAATTGGCTTTGGGGTGTCATGAGTAACCAGTCAATTCAGGTGGGCCCTTGGTCAAGCTATCCCCATAGCCTAAAGTCCAGCAGTGCCCACTATAAGCTGTATACTACACATTCCCCACCCCCTGAGGGATATAGCAGTTGAATTTAGTACCTAATGTAGGACCTTGCACACAATACATGTGGGTTCTATCATTGTGCTACAGTCTGTCCTGTCCATGTCATCAGATCTCTTAAGAACCCTGCAGAGACAATGCATTTCCATTTTACAACTGAGTAAAAGGTGGCTAAGTGCCGAAGGCCACTACTGTCCCCCCAGGGCCGCCCTGCCCTGCCCTTCAAGTTCCTCAAATCTTAAAAGACAAAAACAAAACGCCTAGTCACAAAGCCCACGTGGTGGCACAGATACTGTGATCTCAGGACTGAGGAGGCAGAAGCAAAAGGATCAGGAATTCAAGGCCAACTTTGGCATAAGACCCTGTCTCAAAAACCTAAAAGTAAAAAACTCACTCATAGCTCTGCATTCTAGATTTTGGGATTCTGCTTTTTAATTTTTGTTTCCTTGAGACAGGGTCTCTTTATAGCTCAGGCTAGCCTGGAACTCACCATGTAGCACAAGAGGGCCTTAAACTTGAGATTCTCCTGCCTCAGCCTCTTGAGTGCTTGGATTACAGACTTGTGCCAGAACAGCCAGCTGGGTTAGTTGTTTGATTTTGAGTAAACAGCATATCTAGGACAAGGTCAATATTTATATACTGGTTGTACTAAGCCTCTGGCCCAACATGTGACTCACTGGGAAACCAAGGGTGCAGTGCGGGAGGGAAGAGAAGCACCAAGTGTGGTCAAGGGGGTCCCCAGGATGGTGATTACCTAGATGATGGGGACCTTGGCACAGAAACCCTGTGATAAGCGGCAGAGTCACAGAATTCGAGCTCATTTTTTTCTTCTTGTGAAAACCAACAGCTTCTGGTCCGGCAGAGGATCCCAGTGTCAATTTCCTGAAGAATGTAGGGGAGAGCGTGGCAGCTGCCCTCAGCCCTCTAGGTGAGCGAGCTTCCTGGCCATCCTGTGAGACGCCTCAGTGGTTGGTGACTCAGTGTGCAAGTGGCCTTTGGCAGCCTTTTCTGGCACGCTACAGAGGCCAGGGCAGATCTGTGTGCTTGACACCAGCAAGGTTTTATTGCATAAATTAACCTTTACCACGGACTGGAATGGGTGCCTCAAGGTTGAATTCCTAATTCTTGAGCTTTGTAGAATGAGCCAGTGGGGAGGATGATCTGTAGGTGGGTGGGCTAGCCTTTGGGGTAACAATGGCTTGTGTTTTCTGAGCTAAATGAGTTGATTTTTACACTTGAAAGCAGGCAGCTGATTTCTCCTTCCTTCCTTCCTTCCTTCCTTCCTTCCTTCCTTCCTTCTTTCCTCTCCTTCCTTTCTTTTTAGGCAAGGTTTCATGTTAGCTTAGGTTGGCCTAGAACTCTGCTACGTAGCCCAGACTGGCCTTGAGCTTGTAGAATTCCTCCTGTCTTGGCCTGCTGGGATTTCTTCTCCTTCTCATTTGAGAACCCCCAAATCTTTCTGGAAGCAGGGAGAAAGTGCTAGAGGCAGGTGCTCTGGGTCGTGCCTGGCTCTGCAGTGGGCAGAGCTCTGCTGGGGTGGGGGAGCACAGTGTCACCTCTCAGTACTGTGGCCCTAGGTACTGTCTCTGGGGCACACTGGTGTGATTTAGGAAGTGCTTGCCCACCCTGTTCTATGTCTGCAGTGTTAGGAGGTACCCAGTGTCCAGTACTGAAGGAATGCTGATGACAGTGTGTCCCAACCCCCTCCAGTCTCTCCTCCTCCTTATAGCTACTAGGTATCACCACCACTTGCTGCAAGCCAAGACCAAATGTGCTCATGATGCCCCAGGATGCAGCTTTGAGGCAGCAGTGGCATCTTGGTCTTGCAGTTAAACTGAATAGTTTAGGTAGAGATGTGGTGTAGCTCTGTGGCAGAGTATTAAGACTCTTCGATTAGCCAGGTGATGGTGGCACACACCTTTAATCCCAGCACTCAGGAGGCAGAGGCAGGTGGATCTCTGTGAGTTCGAGGCCAGCCTGGTCTACAAGAGCTAGTGCCAGGGAAGGCTCCAGAGCTACACAGAGAAACCCTGTCTTGAAAAACCAAAAAAGAAAAAACAAACTCTTTGATTCCTGACACCAAACGAAGTACAGATAAAGCAGTTCAGTCAGACTGCATGGCCTTGGCGTTGGAGTAAGAGGCTCTGGAGAACCAGGCTCTCATTGCTTTCCAAGGAGATCAAAGTGGCACAGCATCAACTGGGTTGTTGCTGGGGGAGAAGCAGGGCTCACGCTAGGATATAGTGGGGCTCTGGAGGATTGTAATTCACTTGAGATTGTCTTCATCCAACAGATGAGCTTTCAGGGGCTACGGCAGCTTCTCTGCAAGACAAGTCTGAATTGTGGTCCTTGGGTGTAGGGGAGACAAGGATACCCGAGCAAAGGGTGCTTTGAAGTTAGTGTGTGTTTATGTGTGTCTAAGTGTGAAAACTAGTCATTTTGGAAAGTGAGTCCTTCAGTAGAAAGATGAGAGTGTGGATTCAGCTCAGTTCCTGCTCCATCCTTGGTCATGACAATGCTTTTGACTTCTATTGGAGCTTCCCAGAACCCTCTTGCTCTCACTAGCTAATACCAGTCTATGCTGGTGGTGGGCGTATCATGACCACTGGGATCTTCTCGGGAGAGAGCAGGCATTATTTTGCAGTACTTAGAGGTTGTCTGGGAGGATAAAGGCCTTTGAAGTGTGTGGAGTTGCTAAGTAGTAGAATACCTAGAGTTTGACAAGACAGCAAACTTTCTAAAAAAAGACTCTGGGTAGTTTAAACTGAGGGTTGCTTCAGCTCTTGTGGAAGTCTTGGGAGTTTTCCTTCCCCATCTCTCTGAGGAACTAAGCAGGGGATGACTCACATGCTAACTGCCTCTAATGGATTGTACGAGAGCAGAGGCCCAGAGGGAAAAGGAGTTGGCACACAACCTCTCAGAAGGCAGAGGTTGGGGTAAGCCAGAGCCACAGTCTTTTATTGGTAGGTTCTCTGAGAACCAGCCAAGGAAGGCCACTACTGTGGCCCAGTGCTGTGTTTGGCTCAGAGACTGTGGTCACTGACACATAGGACACAAGGTAGCAGGGCCTTTCTTGTCTGTCACTGGGTCTTTTGACAAACACAGGCTTTGAAGGGGACAGCAGGGCTGGGGTTGGGGTTGGGCTCAGCCCATGGGGGTTGTCACGTGGTCTATCATGTCACATGGTTATGTGGTTCTGGGGTTGAGTCCAGCCTCTGTGTCGTTGGCTAGCTGCCAGTGTCCCAGTCCACCGAGTCACTGATAACACATGCAGGGGAGGCCTCTGGACTTGATGGCTCTATTCCTCCTTCTCTAGGCATTGAGGTTGACATTGATGTGGAACATGGAGGAAAGAGAAGCCGCCTGATGACCACCTCCCCAGAAAGTTCCAGTGTGGGCACAGAAGACAAGTGTAGCACTCAGCCAAGCAGCTGCTCTTCGGAAGTCAGCAAACCTGATGAGGCCGGCGAAGGCCCCTCACAGTCCCTGACAGAGCAAATGAGAAAGATTGCTTTGGAGTCAGTGGGACAGCCAGAGGTAGGTCTGCTTTCTCCCATGACCTTTAACTGGCCTGCTTGGCATCTTGGCCTCAGCCCCAGTCATCTTGTAGCCAGAGGGGTTCTGTCCTTGTTATCTCTGTGGTGTCTTCAGTCTCTTGAGCCTTCTGACAGAACTCTATAGAGAAAAATCTTACTCCCGTCTGAAGCCGTAACTCTATATGGGGCGTTTATCTGATGTACATGAGATCCTGGGTTCAAGCCTTGGCATCATGAAAAAAACTAAACATACTTGGTGCAGGCCACTCTCTAGTGCCTGGGATTCCCATACTTGGCTGGGAGCAGATAGTGGGGTCACACTGGCCAGTCACTTCATGCTTGTGCTCACAGCAGATTATATTCTAGGAACAGATGGAGTCTGATAATTGCTCAGGAGGGGATGAAGACTGGACCCATCTGTCTTCCAAAGAAGTGGACCCGTCCACAGGTGAACTCCAGTCTCTGCAGATGCCAGAATCAGAAGGACCAAGCTCTCTAGACCCCTCCCAGGAAGGGCCCACAGGGCTGAAGGAAGCTGCCGCGTACCCACATCTCCCACCAGGCATGTGGTCACCAGAGGTTTCTTTTACTTTGCTTTCAGAGTATCCTATCCTGTGTCTGGTTTTGGCAGCACAGAAAAGGGTAGCATGGTCTGGAATTTTTTGTTTGTTTTTTGTTTTTTCGACACAGGGTTTCTCGGTAGCTTTGGAGCCTGTCCTGGAACTAGCTCTTGTAGACCAGGTTGGCCTCAAACTCAGATCTGCCTTCCCCTGCCTCCCGAGGGCTGGGATTAAAGGCGTACACCACCACTGCCTGGCTGGGATTTTTTTTTTTAATTTTTATTATTTTTTGGTTTTTCAAGACAGGGTTTCTCTGTAGCTTTGGAGCCTATCCTGGAATTAGCTCTTGTAGACCAGGCTAGCCTCAAACTCACAAGAGATCCGCCTGTGCTGGGATCAAAGGCATGTGCCACCACTGCCTGACTGGGATTTGTTTTTAAAGGCAGTACCTAGTTGTGTAGTTCAGGGTGGCTTTGGGGTTGTAGACTTACCTGCAGCACACTGTCTGGTGGTATTATCAGCTGACATCAGAAAACTACAAGATAGTCTGACCTCTTCTCTCTGCATCAAGCAACAGTAATCTCATCTCATTTTAGGAATTTCTAAATCTCAATACCCAGATGTCCTGAGAAGGCAGATGTGACAGAAAAGGCAACACTGGTTTTGGGCCGTCATGCACCAATGAAGTGAACTTAGACCCTACACACCATTTTCTCGGGGGTTGCAAATTTTAATGGCTAGCACCACGGCCAAGGCCCCAGTAGAAGCCAAGCAGTATGTAAAATGCTGGGCTGGGCTGGTTAGTCCCAAGTGTACACCCTGCAAAAAAGGCAGCCAGCTCCCACGTTCCCAGAATAAGGGTGTTCAGGTGAATAACTTACCTCTGGGCCAGATTTGACCTTGAGGTTTTCAAAGCTTATTTTCTCTGCGGCAGAGCAGAGGGGCAGCAAACGGTTGTATGAGAGTCTGGGGAGGGGCTTTATTACGAGTTAAAGGCGATCCTGGCTACACAGTGAGACCTCTGCACCTCCATGGCAGACTGCTTATCTCGCACTTGCAAGGCTCTGGACTGGAGGCAGAACGGGGCAGGGGAGTTGAAGAGCTGGCTCGTCTGGTACAGTGCTTGCTGGGCAAGTGTGAGGACAATAGTCTGGGCTCCCAGAACCCATGTAAAAAGCCAAAAGCTGGGCAGAGTGGCAACTGTGTCTGTAGTCTCAGCAAGCAGAAGGCAAAATCCCTTCAAAGCTGGCTAGCTAGACAAGATGGAACTCGTAAGCTGAGTTCACTGAGACCCCAACTCAGTCACATGGAGAGCAATAGAGGAAGACTCCTACTTCAGCTCTGCGCGGCCACAAGGGACATAAGTACCATGACACATGTGCCGAACAACAACAGGGTGGGGAGTCAGGCAGTCAGAGGAGAGTCACATTTCTTTATCTATAAAGAGTTGAGATGCTGTTTCATTGTTGCCCAGGATGCCCCTGAATGATCTTCTTGCCTCCGTCTCTTGAGTGTTGGAACTACAGGCTTGAGTCACCACATCTGGCAATAAAACTTTATTAGAAAATAACCGCACTCATTTGCTTACATACCTTCTGGCTGTTTATGCTACAGTGGCAGAGTTGAACAGTTGTGACAGACTGGAAAGCCTACAAAACAAGCTATTTATTTGGTCCTTTAGCTGACCTCTGAGGTTCCTATAAGGCCCAAACAGAGGAGTCTTCCTGGCAGGCAGGACTTGCTGTGTTTGGAGTGTTACAGGGCACCTCACTTTCCTATATTGTTTTGCAGAGGCTGATCCCCGGCTGATCGAGTCGCTCTCGCAGATGCTGTCCATGGGCTTCTCTGATGAAGGTGGCTGGCTCACCAGGCTTCTACAGACCAAGAATTATGACATCGGAGCCGCTCTGGACACAATCCAGTATTCAAAGCACCCTCCGCCATTGTGACAGTGCTTGTGCCCAAGCCCCGTGACCCACCCCTTTGTCTTGTAGTTGCATCCAGTAGAGCAGCAGGGCCGTCTATAAGGCCAGTTTCTTGGCATTCTTCCAGAGCCTGCAGGTGGGAGTGTGTGAAGCCCTTCAGGGCAGGAGAGAGTGACTTGGAGGGAGAGCTCCAAGAGTGCACATGCTGACGCCTGGGAACACAACCAGGTGCTTGTGGCTGAGCTTCCTCTGCTTTTCCTAAGTCTGGCCTTTGCCAGGGAGCTGCAGAGGCATACTGCTCTTGCTGCCAGCATTGCACCAGCAGTCCAGAATTGTAGCCTGATGACCTTCTGTGCTTTTTTGTTAAAAGTGAACAAATAGAACCATTGTGTAAGTCAAAGGTGGCAGCAACTGGGGCCTATATATGGCTCCTGGGGGATGGAGAACTTGTGCAGGCTCTCACCATATACTGCATCCCCTTTTAATGATCCAATGTTAATGCTTTTAAACAAACCCCCCCATGTAGCTTCCTCTGACTTGATTTTTAAATAGCCTGTAATTAAATGGCATATGCACTTTAACCAACCCTGTGGTCTTTACTATTGCTATTACAAGAGAAGTCTGTTTGACAGGTTATTTGTTCTAGAGCACCCCCATCTGTGGCATGGAGGACTGGCATACAGGGACCACATCACACACGAGTCAAAGTGAAGGCTACAGGTCATCTTCAAAGTCCTCCCCAGTTGTAAAGAGGTTGTACAGTTGCATGGATGGGGCCTTCTGTGCCCCTTGAGCCAAGGGCCTACCATCTGCTTGAGGAATCCCTGTGGCCCATGGCTGATCTGGGGTCTTCCTGCTAGGCCTCTCTGGCTGGGGTGTGGCAGTGTGAGTGGTTTGGGCAGGCTGGACAGTGGCAGGAGCCCTGCTGAAGTGGCCATCCCCTGGAGTCCTGGCCTCAAGGGTCCCTTGCTCAGCTTGTGCTGGGTCAGCTAGCCTGGTGCTCTCCTGCAGAGGCCTTGATGGATTTCCATCCACATGTGGGCCGTTCCCAGGTGACAGGAAAAACTGTGCCCATTTAGAAGATTGGGCCTTAGCCTGCAGGACAGGGCTTGGTAGTTTCCACCTTGGAAAACCAAGTTCCCTGATGTGGGCTGCAGTCCCGAGGGCAGGACTGCTACCTTGTTTCTCTGTTCCAAACAGGCCAGTGGAGTCCTGAAAGAAACCAGAGAAAGGGTTTCGCTTGGCAGGACCGTCAGCACCCTTCTGCTTTCTGCATAACTACTGTAAATCCTACAGGTTAGAACATGCTGTTGTGAGGTTTAACAGTCAAAGTTCATAAATGTTAACCCTGATTGGATAAATCTTGTGACCACATTCCTCACATAAAGGAGACATCCAGAATAACCCATTTCCTGGGAAGCTTTGGGTCAGGTCAGCAGTCTCCATGAGAAGGTGTGAGCAGGGAGGGGCCTAGACAGCCACCACTTAGAAAGATGTAGTCTATCATGCCTGTGCAGCCCCAGCTGGGCCGGAACATCTCTGCAAAGCTGGAGCTCAGGGGCTGCACTGAGGTCTCTAGGAGGTGACAAGGAGCTGGGCCTGGCTTCTTCCAGCTCAGAAACCAAAGATGCACAGGAAAATGGGTTTCACTGCTTACAAAGGAATTCGACAGCAGCACTGGATCTTTGCATCATGACTGCCCAGATAATGCTGAAGAGACCATGACTCTGACTGCTAACTTGGCTTTACCACTGAACTTGCTGTAAACTCACTGAGGTCTTAGTTCCTCTAAAACAATAGACTGGTGAAATTGAAACTCAGGGTGTGGGCCACGGTAAGGGCTCTGTAACTCACTGCCATGATTCTGGCTCAATGGGACTCATACCTACTGGAAGCACTAGGTAGTTTAAGAAACATCAAAAATTGAACTCTGAGTTGGGTGGTGGCAGTGCAGGTCTTTAATCCCAGCACTTGATAGCCAGAGACAGGTGGATCTCTGTGAGTTCAAAGCCAGCCTGGTCTACAGAGCAAGGTCCAGGACAGCCAAGGCTACATAGTGAAACCCTATCTTGGAAAACAAAACTGAACTGTCTCTTGGCTTTGTGCCATGCTCTGCATGCAGTCAGACTGAGCTGGGTAGGCCTTAGCTAGTCATTAGGGGCAGAGGAGGTGAAAGAACAAGAACCCTCATTCCTAGGCTTCTATAGCAGCACAATACAAAATATGCACTCACATGCTCAATGTGCAGTGGGCCTGCTAGGTGTGAGCATCACCAACACTATAAAGCAAGGAGTGCACGGGAACAGGCATTCCTGGATGGAAACCTAGGGCAACTTCTACTGTGACCAGATTAATGACGTTCCTCTGCAGAATGAACAGTCTTTCCTCAAGCCTTACTGGCCAGCCTTAGCAGGGTCTCACGATGTGCTCCTGGCTGTGAGTTAACCACATGGGATGATGACCATGACGATGTCTTGCTGTATGTCAGAATGGCCTTGAATTCATGCTCTTCCTGCCTCAGTCTCCTAAATGCTGGGATTATGGGTATATAACCTGGCTCAGGAATTGGCCTTTTTCAGGGGGAGGAGACAGGGTCCACTATGGACCCGGGAACTTGCTATGTAAACTAGGCTGGCTTTGAACTCACAGAGTCATCTGTGTCTGCCTCCAGAGTGTTGAGATTAAAGGTATGTGCCACCACACCCAGCCTCAGGACTCAGTTTTAAGCAGAAAAGACACTCATCTCATGCCAGAAGTTGAACTTTTTAGTATATAAACCTCATAATTGTGAAGAAATATGTTATCCAAGCCTTGTACCTGCAGTCTCAGCTGCTCACAAGGCACAGGGAAGAATATGACTTGGGTGCAGAAGTTTGAGGCCAGCCAGGCAATGTGACAAGGCCATGTCTTCAAGAACAAAACCAAACAAATTCCACAGGGCTGGGGTGTAGTAGTGATGTTGATACCTATCATACACGCTGTGGGCTAAAGTCCTAACTGCACGTGTGTTTGCATGTGTATGCAGACTTGCATGCAATCGTACATAGGCTCCATGGTCACTGACCTGGCATTCAAAGCTGTCTTTAACACTGTCCAAGTCCTGGACATGCAGGCTGCATGGAGGCTTCCCTGTGTTCTGATTCCATTTCCTGGAAGGAAGGAAGGAAGGAAGGAAAGAAGGAAGGAAGGAAGGAAGGACTATCACTCATGAAGTTCTCTCATCCAATTGTCCTCACAGAGAGCAACTGAGATCTGGCCTGACATAGGGAGGAATCTTTTCAGCCTTCACAGGTTCCTACACCACCTCCAGGAACAGTCTGGCCAAGCCTCTTCTCTGGTTTGTAGTTGTTAGAATAGTCTTACTTGAAATTGTAATTCATTCCCTTTGAGAGTCATGCAGCATCCCAAGCCTAAGGAGGTTTCTATGGAAACCTACTGAGACGTGGAGATCTGGAGAACCTCATATAAAGTACCCCTCCCCCTCAACCCACTGATTACTTTGGCCACGCTTCCACAGCTGGTTGAGCAGGGCTTCAGCCCCCTCATGACTGGAGTTATAGGCATCCAGGGAAGTCTAGCTAGGCTTCTGCTCCCTCTGCCAGGCAGCACGCAGTCTGAGGGTTAGCTGTCATGGCTGCTGCCCACTTTGCCCACCCACTTATGTACAACATGGGAGTCCCACTTAGTGACGTCATAGGAACTGCTCATCAGCCCCCTCCCCCCCAGGGGTCAGTGTGGGCACAGTGATGACCGGATGAAACCCGTTTAGCACCTCTTCCTTGGTTGGGCTGGACTGCAGGGCAGACCTGGCCATTCAGCAAGAGCTGCTCTTCCTCTGTCCAGCTCCTGGTCCTCACAGTCCTTGTCCAGATACTTCAGCCAACGGGACTCCAGGGGCTCAGACAGTGCCTAAGTGTCAGAACAGAGGACAAGGCTCAGAGTTTGAGAGCAGCCCAAGTTTAACGCACAAAGTTCTTGGGCCCTATGTTTCTCCCTCATCACCAGGAAGGACCTGTAGAGCTCAGTGGAGACACTGTCAGTCCTAATGCTGTGGCCTTAATACAAGTTCTCATGCTATGGTGACCCCAACAATAACATTATTTTCGTTGCTACTTCATATCTGATATGCAAGCCCAAGGGGGTCTAGACCGCAGGTTAAGAACTGCTCTAAAAGGATGTACATGCACACAGGCCCACTGGGGTACAACTTGCTGCAAACATCCCCAGAGTTGATACTCCCCAGCCCAGGAACTGTCATGATGAACAAAAGCATGACGAGGGAGTGCAGAGAGCAAATACCTAGGACAGCAGGATTAAGCCAAATGTCACGACACTCTAGAATGTTCAAACATAAAAATCCGTGAAGACCATACAATACCAGATGAGTAAGTGCTGGTGCTCAAGCCCAGGACCACACCAATGCCAGCCAAGTGGTCCACCCTATGCTACATTCCCAACCCCAGCCCCAGGTAGTGCATATAAGAGTGGCATGAAATAATCTTTGTAATGGGACCAAACAGGAAGTGCACACATGAACACAAACACACATGTTAGAAGGGCTGTGTTATTTTACTTACAAGCACATCCTTTGTTTAAAACAGAATTTGAAAACCAAATGGAGAAAGGAGGTGGCCAGTGTGAACCATGAGCAAAGCTGGGTCATAGTCGCAAGTGGGTAGCAAGAGTTCACAGTCAGGGGCTGGGGAGATGGCTCAATGGTTAAGAGCACCGCCTGCTTTGTCTGAAGGTCCTGAGTTCAATTCCCAGCAACCACATGGTGGCTTACAACCATCTGTAATGAGATCTAGTGCCCTCCTCTGGCCTGCAGGCAGGCATGTAGGCAGATTATGATATACACAATAAATAAATAAATCTTTAAAAAGAAAAAAAAAAGAGTTCACAGTCAGTGCTCCTTATGACCGACCACAGCATCCGGGTTATAACGGTGTCAGTTAGGAACGCAGTCACTGCCCACCCAGTGCTGGCTGAGATCTATTTATAAGCCTTCCTTTGGCCTCCAAGGACAGAGAATACTGATACCACTCCTCCTCTTGCGGAGTGCCCAGTCTGCAGCGAGGGAACATGAAGCTCTGGCATGTCCCACATCTTCGCCCTAGCAGAGCTCTGCCTCGGAGACAGGGGAAGGGGAAGACGACTTGGGCATGTGAGACAAACAAATGACTAATGAATACCGTTAACACTTGGACTTGGGGGCTGAGCCTCTGCACAAGATCCCACACACCAGACTAAAGTGCAAAACGGAGTCACCTGTACTAAAAAGGTTTCCATCACTAAGTTGGAACTGAATTACTGTAGAGCAGGAGAGCGACAATGGCCCAGTGTCCCAAACAGGCTGGTATCTATGGGCACAAAGGCAGCAACTCTGAACTGATGCTCATCCCCCAAAGCAGGTGGAACTGAGCCCAGCAGTCACTCTCCTGTAATTCTGTCTCCCTGTCCACCCTACCAGGGAAGTCACTTGGAATGTCAGTTTTCTTTTTGTTCAGTTTCTTTCTTTCATCACTGTCTGGTCTATCCAGCGTCTGCTCAGCTCACTGGAACACTAGTTCTGTTTTATGGG